CCAGTGGCCTATCAAGTCCAGCATCTTGTTCTCACAGTGTCCAATCAGATGCCCATGGCACAGCAGATGACCTGAGCACAGTAGCACTTTCCCCACTTCCAATTCCCAACAACTGGTACACACAGCCATACATCCTCTGCCACTGGAGGTAGGACGTAGCCTTTGCCCACGTGATAGTACCAGGTAGTTTGCTGAACTTCTGCCATTCTGATCCTAGGAGAAGGGATGGCTGTCTTTGCAAGAGGGCTCCTTTTGTGCCAGAATGGCCAAGGTTGGTGGCATATCATGTCTCTCCGCCGCCCCCTCAAAAACTTGCCCAACAGCCTTTCAAATGGGAGATGCATTACTCCCTAGTTGGATCTTGGAAAAAGCATCCCTTGGTCATCTTGGGTTCAGGGAAGGGAGAATGGAGAAGGAGAAAGAGGTAGCAGGTAGGATGTCTATAAAAACCAGCCAGTTGAACACCTTTGGTTGGGAATTGCCACATGAGCACAGCTTTGGTAACAGCAGCAGAAAGCCATAGCCTATGTATGTTGCAGAGTTGTGTGATGTGGCAAAGGCAGCAGTGGTACATGTAGACCAAGAGCGTGGTACCTTAAAGGAGCATGGGGTGAGGATTGTCTTGAATATTGGGCAGTTTTCAGGTCAGCTGCTGAGAAGATCTCGCACATCTGTGGAGCAGGGCTGATGGTGATCCACAGTGACAGCCTTGCTTGTTTGCCCGTGGCACAGTCAGCGAGCCAGACTGAGGAGATGCGACAGCCCAGCTCCTTTTGCCGATCTGGTGTGCCCCCCTCCCCATTTCACTCCATGTATGCAACTCTTTGGCCAATAAGAAATGCAGCAAGCGAATGAGGTTGAGAGCCTGAACCTTATCATGATCTGCATATGCAGGCATATATGCAAAAAAGCAGGGCTATTCAACATTGTTGATTCAATACAAGTCATCTGGAATTCTTTACATGAGCTGGAAATCCTGGAGTATTTTGGTTATATCTCCTTGCTGGGATCATTCTCATGACACTGTGTACTTGCAGTGAATCATAAATTTTCTTCTCCTCTGCTTCTCCAAGATAATAATTCCTGTTATTTCCATAGTGGCTTATCTTCTAAGGTTGACCAAACATCCAGGGGCACTTATCCTCACTTTCCATTTTATTCTAGCTTCCAGCTGAGTTAAGGGATTGTTATTTCAAGGCAATTGCTGTGAAACATGAAACAAGGACACAGAGCACCTAAACTGTTGCTACCTTTGCTACCTCACTGCTTATTCTTTTCTTAAAGGGTCCTTAGAAAACTCTGGCTCCATCAGGAATCAGGATCTTGAAACATCCTATTGGAGAATGTGATTGAGCAACAATTTGGAAGGCACGTGCACACACACACACACACACACACACACACACAGTGTGTATCCTGTTTGTTCTTTCACTTGCAATCTTAGCAATCCAAATCCTATGCAAATCCACAGAGAGAGATTTTACTATCCAGTCAGTAGAGACAAAGCAAAATATCAAAATGAGAACGAATTTTCCAATTCTAAAAGTCACAATTGATTTTTTAAAAATAGAAATATCTGGTAGAACTCATAGTTTGGAGCCAAAATTTGAATTTGTTACAACTCAGTTCCTGCAAAATCAGGACGCTTGCGCCCTTTGTTCAAAACCTAAATCCCAGTGCCAGCATTGAATTTGAACTCAGCTATGAATTTACAAGGCTCCCATTCCATTTCTTGGGCCTCAGGATTTATGTTATTACAAATCTAAGTCTGCAGCAGCAAGGCACAGATTCCAGTGACAGATGTGCTTTCTAGAACAATTCCCATTTATTGCTGCAGTCCTCCCTGCCCAACATAAGTTTATGTGGGCATTATCAGCTGTTCCTCTTCTTGGCAGCTTCCAGATTTGGTTTGAGGTAGCTGTCAGTCCAAACATCCCATATCTAGTCCTTCCTTAGGACTGAGCAGATGGAGGGGGAGAGGTTATCCCAAGGACTTAGCAGCAGGAAGTAAACAGCATCACTCAGTGCACCAGATTTTTGTGTGTGTGCGCGCGGGAGGAGGGGGAGAGATATGCTTTACTTCTGTTCTCCACTAGATGGCAGAAAGGGACCAGAGAACAGCTGAAGAGGTTTATAAAAGTTTGCTAAGGGTTACTGGGAACTGTAAGTATTTCAGGGGTAAGCTATAGTGCTCAGAATTTTTTGAGGGGTAGCTTGGGTTTCGAATATGCTTTAAACCTATAGTGTGTGCACATACAGAACTGTGGAGAGAGAGAACCTGGGACATGTCATATGTGATGTAAATGGCAATGCTAACAGAAAGCCCACATAGGGTGGCAGTTTTGCATGTCTTCTCTTGGCTTATTTTCATTATCCACAAGGATATTTCTAAAGGGGAGGATTTTACATGTTTTAGCAACATGTCTCCTTTTGCAGAGCCAACCATGGCATTGCTGGGAGCTTGGGAGGGTAGGCTATATGCCTCAGCATGGGGATACAGAGAGAAGCCCAGATGTGGGTCTGGAAGTGCAATATCCAGCGCAGAGTAGCAGAGGATAGAGGTTGGGTCAAGAATGCAGATTGCGGGTGTCGAATGTTTAGGAAAGTGCTCTTTGTCAGTAACATATTCAGTCACTTTGTACAAAGCCCATTATTGTTCCAGCTTTGTAACTAGCCCATGATCAGCAATAACAATGTTCTTCTCACTCCCTTGTTCTGTTTGTACCAGACTGCTGCTTCCATTCTGCGGGATGAGTATGAAACTCAAGAAGCCTGCCTCAGCTGGATCAATGAAAGTTATTTTACGTACTTCTTAGCCTTTAGGGTAAACACTGTTCATACTCAGCTGTGAAGTTTACCAGGAGATATTGGTGGTCTCGGTCTAAGGCACTGGACAGGGTTGTTGTGAAATAACCTATAACTCCTTGATGGAAGACTGCATTATAAATGCATTAAATAAAGTTTAGGTCCAGGGGACTAGCATAACATGCACAGCACATTTGTGTCTGTTTTGTAAGCAGAGTGGTGCATTGATTGAAAATTGATTAATACACTAACCTGTCAGGAGATTTCATTACTAGTTACATAGTAGAGCATGCAGATATGTTTATCATTCACTGAAGCACGAAGTATTTGCATTCTCTGTATTCAATTTGTTTCAATTTGTGTTCAAAGCAGTGGGGATTTTTTAAAGTCTAATGGAAAGCATTTGCATGGAGAGGGTGAGGGAGGATGCATGAAGTACATCTGTAAATCTGGACAGTTGTTATTATGGTTGTTTATTAAATTTATTTACCATTCTTTATCCAAAGATCACAGGGCAGTTTACAATATAATTAATGGAAACACAGGTGTAATTATCATGTATGATGTGATTTTCATGCCTTAAGCAAAACAAGTGCTTTCTATCTGAAATGTGTAAGATTTGAAGTGGTGCTCAGAAACCTGAAAATGTCAGTTACCTTTAAGTAACATGGTGAGTTACTAATTTTGTTTCTAAGCTCCTGTCGTGGTACACCATTATCCTACTTTGACTTTGAGCACATAAAACGGCTAAAATCTTCTGTCACCTGCTTGCAAACCCCACCCTTGTATCCCACAGGCTGAGCATCTGTGACATCATGCATTTTTGACAGACGTTCCAGTCAATGGATGAGCAGCAACAGACCTCTGTGCTGTGATGACACTGCTCTGGAATAAATGGAAAGTTGGTTTGGCTGGTGGGTTGGCGTGGAATCTCAAACTGAGTCGAGGAATAGGAGAGGCTGTGTGCTGCAAGGGTCTGGAAAGGAATGATAAAGGGAAGTGCTTCTGATCACATGCACAAAAAGTATTCTTTAGCCTTGGAGCCTTTTCCCAGTGGCTGGACCATGTGACGCACTAAAGAAAGTAAAGAGAAAAGCTAACAAACAAACTGAAACTGACACAGGGACAGATAAAAGAGGATGCCTTGGCTCCCCTTCATTACATACACAGCCCAAAAGACAACAACAAGAACCCACCAATAAATAAAAGAGTGCTTTTGAGCATGTGCAGAATCTCCCTTCCCCATTGGCGAGTAACCATAGTCAGCCATACATAACCAAGGTTATAGGGGCAGGACTTCTAGGCAAGAGGTCATGTTTTGGCCATTTTAAAACACTAGCTGCCAGGACGTAGAGCACAGGAATATACATCCAGTTATACAGTTGATAATTCTTACCACTGTCAGCATTCTCCAGTAGGGGTCCCCAAATATGGCAATCAGGGCTTTTTTTCTGCTGGAACTCAGTTCTGGCACATCTCAGGTGGTGCCATTGTCATTATAAGAGAACAAGGTTCACGGTGAGTTCCAGCACCATTTTTTTCTAGAAAAATTGCACTGCTTAGGTCCATTCATTTCAGTGGGTCTCCTCTTGAATACATCTTAGATATACAGTACAACCCTTTGCCTCTTTAGAGCAGGATGTGAAAAACCCCAAAAGCTTTCTTGAAGTCTGCTAGAAATAATTGGTTGGTTAGAACATGTGGACCCCTTTTTGCTCTTCCTCTTCTTATAAGCATTAATCTAATAAGACCATTTAGTGGAGGGTGTGTGCGTCACTGTGCAGTAGGTTCAGATTAGAGTTGATCAGAAGGCATGTCTTTGAACTGTGGGCCTGAAGCAATGAGAGAAAGGGGGGGGGGGAGCCAGCCGCCAGGAAAATCAGTTATGTTGCAGGCATGGGTAAGAGTGTAATTGACTCATTAACCAGAGGCCTTGCAAAGGGGAGTGTGTGGTGGTGACAGAGGGTGAGATTGTCCTGACCTAACAACCAGAGGCCTTGGAAAGGGCAAAGTGTGAGTTGTAACCTCAATATATGGGCCCGATACTAGTAAGGGTGTAGTTTACATTGTCAGGGTGATGGTTCGTCATGATACAGAAGGCTAATGAATAACACATCCGTGGTGACTAGAGACATTTCAGGCATGCACAAATGTCAGATAAAGACACTGTCTATAACCAACCAACATCTTTATTACATTTAGAATTTCAGGTGGGGCAGAGACTCCTGCCCTTTGTGCCTATAGGCTCCTGGTTTCACTCTCCCCTGCTTTTCCTCCCTCTGGCCCAGGCTCTGGCACTCCGCTTGTCCTTCCTTTTTTGGAAAAAAAAGTATTTTTAATTTTTTTAAAAAAATTATTGAGAAAAATAATAATACATACAAATAACACAAATACACCTCAAAACAAATAACACAAATATACATATAATACATATAGTCCCTACAAACTAAAACAACACATTACCCACCCCGTGACCTCCCTTCACTACAGCTCAACTTCCTTAAATTTTAATTTGATTGTTTCATTGCATTTCTAAGAATCTTCATCTCTTACAACCATTCCTGATTTCACTTCCATCTTTGCTTTACCTACTTACTTACTTAATCTATGCTTAATAGGCATATATTAATATTCTCACATCTACTTTACATATTTAATCTATGAATATTAACATTTTTTTTTAGAACAGTATTTTTCTATGTATTCTTCAAAACAATTCCATGCTAGCTTTAAATTTTGATTTGTTTGGGATCTTATGGCTGCTGTTAAGTTTTGCCAACTCTATGTATTCACTTAGCTTATAAATCCATTCTTCTTTAGAGGGTATTGCCTCGCTTTTCCATTTGCTGGCTAGAACTATTCTAGCTGCTGCTGTGGCATATAAAAAAAAACCTTTTCTTATTCTGTGGGATACCAAGAGAAGTTGTCAAAAGCTTTCTCTGTGTCTACTAGCATGAAAGCAGCTTTTTTGCTAGGTTTTAATTCCAGATATTCAATTAAATCAATTACAACTCTCATATTGGTTTTCATATGTCTATTTGGTAAGAAACCTGCTTGGTCTTGATTTATCATATCTTTTAGATGTAATTTTAATCTATTGGCCAAGATTCCCGTAAATATTGTGTAATCGTTGTTTAACAATAATATTGGTCTATAACTCCTTACTGACTCGTGGGGGGTACCTTGTTTATGGATCAGCACAATGTTTGCATCCTGCCAAGTGTCTGGGGTCTTTCTGTCCTGCACTATTTTATTCATCATATTTTGGAATTGTATGGCTATAATCTCCTCTAATATTTTGTAATGCATTGACGAGAGACCATCTGGGCCTGGCGATTTGCCCAATTTCAGATTTGAAATTACTTGATGCAATTCCATTCTAGTAATTGGTGCATTAAGTTGGTCTACTTTTTCTTCACTGATTTTAGGTATTTCTTTCCCTTGGAAATAACTTATAATTTCATGCTCAGCCTCCGGCCCTGCCTTATAGAGGTTTCTAAAATAATCTAGGAAAGATTTGATTATATCCTCTTCAGTATCTATTAATTTCCCATTTTGTAATAGTTTATTAATTTGCATTTCCTTCTGTTTCTTTTTTAGCTGCCATGCCAGCAATTTCCTGGGCTTAATGGCCAATTCGAAAATTTTTTGCCTCATCCATAAAACATTGTTCTCTATTTCTTTATTTAATAATGCTGAGAGTTGTAATTGTAATAATTTAATATTTTGGTTTGCTATTTTATCTTTGGGAGATTTCGCTAATGTTTTCTCATTCTTTTCAATTTCTTGTCTAATTTGATTTAACTTTGCTTCTCTAATTCTTTTTTGTAATATATTTTGTTGGATATAAAATCCTCGTATGAAGGCCTTACTGGTGTCCCATATTATTCTAATATCCGTATTTTGTGCCATGTTAATTTCAAAGAATTCCTTTAGCAATTCTTGAGCCTTTTGTTTTATTTTCACGTCATTCAGTAACTTCTTGTTCAGTCTCCAACCTCTATAGTTCTTCTTGTCACCTCTTAGTTCTAGCTCCTGGTTTCACTCCCCTCTGCGTTTCCTCCCTCTGGCCCGGGCTCTGGCACTCCGCTTGTCCTTTCTTGTGCTTCCCCAGGAGCAGGATCTGATGAGGGAGACAATTTTGCTCGGCTTCCTGCCTGATGAAAAACCAAAGAACTGAAAGTCAGGTCCAGGAAGATGCGACTGAGCCAGAGGAGGCTCATAGGTGAATGGATAATACTGATGGCAGATAGATGATGTCCAGGTGGACAAAAGCATATTGTGTGAGAGATGGATACATGTGGAAGAGGAGGAAAGTGATATACTTATGCATGTAAAGTGTTTTTATACCATGATCATTTAGTCAAATAGGTTTCTCGCAGTCACTTACAAAACCAGAAGAGAGACACATAAGGAAAAAGGGAAGGGGCGGGCGAAGGGTGTGCAGGAGAGGAGAAATGCAAGCTCAGGGTGCTTCTAGACTGTGGCTATTTTTGGGTGAGATTCAATCACATACCAGCAAAATCGGATTGTGCAATTTTAGTTGATTGGGAGATCTTGTGGAACAAACCCACTTCCCCAAAAGTTCAGATTTCTTTGTGATAGGGAAAGTGATAGGAAAATGTACCGAAAAGTGTAAGGGCAAGGTAACTTTTATTATTTTTTATGCAATGCCATCTAACCTCCCCACAAACAAATGATAATAAATGCTCATTAAATAGCCAACATTGTCTAATCTCCCTGCAAACAAATCAGGATGATTGCTCAACAAACAGGCTGTCTAGAAACAATCTCAGGCACCAGCTCTTAAAGTTGCAGTTCTTTTAATTACCAGCAGGAATTAATGACTGATAATGAATGACAGTATGGCATAGTGGTTAGGGTGTTGGACTAGGACCTGGGAGAGAAGGGTTCAAATCACCACTTGGCTACGAAGCTCACTAGGTGACCTTGGGCCAACCACCATCTCTCAGCTTAATCTACCTCATGGGGGATAATATGGGGAGCGGGAGAGCCATGCATGCCAACTTGAGCTCCTTGGAAGAAAGGTGGGGTGTAAAAGAACAAATGAATAGATATTATAGTTCAGGTAACCTGATGGACTGGCTGCTGGTAGGTGGCAGCTGGGGGAGGACCAAAGGCAGCTGGCCTCTCAGCAGAGATGGTGGAAGAGCCCTATTGTTCACTTTCTCTCCCTCTGCCCTGCAGCCCGATAGCGTGTGAGAGAGGAGTATGCGGTGCACAAAGCTGCTGCATAGCAAACTGTATCATCGCTCTGTCTGGTGTGTTACTTTCTACTCTGCGTGGGGGCTTGATGTGGCCCTGGGTCCAGAGGTGGAGCTAGCTGCTCCAGCACCCAGAGTGGCGCACGGAAAGCATCCCAGGGGGGCAGCGTGGCGAGAGATGACACGGGGGGCGGACCACACACCCCACACCCGTGCCTGGGTCTGTTTTCATATGGTCCTTGGCCTAATTTTGAATGTGTGGCAAGGAGGAAAAATGGGAGGGGGGAGCAAAAGACAGGAAGTGCAGGGGGGCATGCACAAGGAGTTTAAAGAGAAAGAGTAAAGATGATGTCAGCATCTTAAAAAGCAGAGACATCACCTTGCCGACAAAGGTCTGTATAGTTAAAGCGATGGTTTTCCCAGTAGTAATGTATGGAAGTGAGAGCTGGACCATAAAGAAGGCTGATCGACGAAGAATTGATGCTTTTGAATTATGGTGCTGGAGGAGACTCTTGAGAGTCCCATGGACTGCAAGAAGATCAAACCTATCCATTCTGAAGGAAATCAGCCCTGAGTGCTCACTGGAAGGACAGATCCTGAAGCTGAGGCTCCAATACTTTGGCCACCTCATGAGAAGAGAAGACTCCCTGGAAAAGACCCTGATGTCGGGAAAGATGGAGGGCACAAGGAGAAGGGGACAACAGAGGACGAGGTGTTTGGACAGTGTTCTCGAAGCTGCCAGCATGAGTTTGACCAAACCCATTCACATTCAAGAGCCTTTAGCCAAAGCTGCCCTAGATTGAGCCTGGGACCTTGTGTGCAAAAAAATGGAGTGGGGTGTGTGTGGAGGGGGAGGCCTGTGCTCTGCCACTGTGTTGCTTTTCTCCCTCTTCATTAAGGTAAAGACTAAATGGAGGAGGGGTGTGTGTGTGTGTGCTAACCATTTCTAGGCTGTCTTGCTCCTAGTCATTCAAGGAAAGGCTGGGCTTAATGCCCTCATTATGGGGGTTTCTTTTAATGCTACACGAAGGGCTTTTAAAAATTATTATTTCCCCAGGTGTTTAGAAATTTTTAAAAATTATTCTAATGTTTTTTAAAAATGCTGCTTTTATGACTTGCTGCTGGTGGTTTTTAACACTTCTTTCAATTGTGATTGCTTTTGTTTTGCTTGTTGTTGCTTTAATGGGTTATGGCATTTAAATTGCATTGTGCACTACTTAGGGAATGCTAGCTATTGGTGCTGTGTGTGTGTGTGTAGTTATTAAGTAAGCAATTGCAATCAGAGCCTTGAAAAAAAAAGTTTAGAAAACATGCAGCCTAGAAATACACTTAAAAGAGAGCCAGAATGGTGCAGGGCTTAGAGTGTTGGACTAGGACCTAGGAGACCAGCGTTCAAATCCCCACTAAGCCATGAAGCTCACTGGGTGGCCTTGGCCCAATCACAGTCTCTCAGCCCAACCTATGTCACAGGGTTGTTGTGGGGGAGAGAACTATACATGCCACCTTGAGTTCCTTGGAGGAAAAACGACTTATCAATGTGATAAATAAAATATATAAATAATAAAATTGCAGAGGGCCAACCCAGTAAGAGCTACCACAGTGTCTTTTAAAAGTTGCCGAGATGCACACATCTCTGAAAGCCCAGCCATGAAGCCCCTGGGCATGCTCTTCTGGTTGGGAAGTTCCAAAGTGGAGGTTCTCCTCCTGCAAAGTACCTTTCTGCTTCCTCACAGACATTATTTCAGAAAATGGGTGGGGGAGGGCGGACTGGGAAGGTTCTCACATCCAGGGGCAGGATGGACACATGGAAGAAGAATTTATTTAATGCAGGCAGGGCCCAGAGCTTTTCGTGGTAGTGCACAGATCTTTCATTTGGGTCTGGAAGCAAATGATACTTGGGTGAGAAGTGCTGATCGTTACACATGAAGGGAGGTAGGCATGTGGAGGGGAGGCAGGAAAGATGAAGGCTGCAATAAAGCGGGGCTAGCTCTCCCATTAGGCAGGGCGAGGCAGCAGCTTTTGGAGCATCGTTAAGGGGGAGAAAATTGCCAATTATTTTCATTACGAGAGGTGCCATTTTGATTTTCTGCCTCAGACACCAAAATGCCTTGGGCCATTTCTGCTAAAAAAAGGAACAAATATGGAAGAGAGAGGCACGGAGGCAGAGGATAAATGGAGGAAAGGAAGAATGAATATACGGCTCAGGGAGAAACAGACGGATTGTTGCAGAACTAGAAGCCCGTGACAGAGCAGAGGGGTTAATGCAGCCTTCTCAGATTGGGTAGGGCATTCAGAGAGCGGGTTTAAATATATATTTAAAATGCTGCTGCTGTATTGCATTTGTATAGCATAGTGGACAAACAGGGTGCTTCTGGAATCTAGTGTGTTAGCTAATGGGCACAGATTTTTCTTTCACAAGCTGGTTATTGGTTTTGGTTTTAAAAAAACTTGCACTGCTTAAATGAATGTAGCTCAGTGACAGAGCACATTTTCGCACATGTGAAATGTCCCTGGTTCAGTCCTTAGTATCTCCAGGGAGGACTGGGAAAGAAACCCTGGAGAGATTGAGCTAGATGGATCAATAGACTGCCTTGGTATACAGCAGCTTCCTATGTGCCTATGCAGTTTCTGAATGTGTTTCAAGGGCAGCTCCACATAAAGCTCATTACAGTACTCTAGTCTTAAAGCAACCAAAGTATGTGCTGGAATACCAGCTCTGTCAGGTCTCCTTTCTCCCTCAGTTGTCACCTGGCAGCAGCCATTCCATCAGCGGAAGAGATGGGAAATAGGACTCATTCCATCAGCTCTGCTGAAAGACCAGCAGAAACCTCCTGCCCCTGCACTGATTCTGTGTTAAAAGAAGTACTAGTTAAGAAATGGTGCCTGAATTTTTCTCCTCCTCCTTCTCTCCCTGTCAGGTTTTTTAAAAATAAATGAATACATAGAGTGTAATCTTGCAGGCAATGACTAATTGATTGTATATAAACCATTTAAATGACTGTATAGGAGCCACCCTGAGAGCCTTTTTGGCCAATGAGCGCGGTACAAATGCTCTAAATGAATTAAAAAATAAAATAGAAACTGTGGCAAGATGAGCTTTCTCAAGAAGAGGCTGCAGCTGGCACATCAGCTGAAACTGAGCAAAATGGGAGCTGCATGCAGCCCTCAATGCCTTTTTTGGGGGCAGCCCTCAGCATCATTTGATGCCGCCCTCTCAGCCCTTGCACTGTCTTCCCAAAGCCAGGTGAGCAAGGTGCTGGGCTTTGGGAAGGAGGCGTAAGAGCTCTGATGGGGTCCTAGAATCATCCTGCCTCATTCCTAAAGCCTAGTTAGTCCTTTCCCAGGTTTGTGAAGTAGATGTGAGGACTCTAGGACCCTGCCAGAGCCTCGCACCTTCTTCCCAAAGCCTGGTCCTTTCTTAGCTCTGACCATATGTGGTGGTTGTTGCCCAGGCAGTCCGTTTATGTGTTTGCACTGGGGTTGGGTAGATGGGGAAGTCACAGAGAAGTGAGATTTTGTTTGATGGTGCAGACATCTCTCCTACCTTTCTCTCCTGAGCTGCTTCGATGGCTTTTTATGTCAGATTTTCTGAAATAAAAACAGTGCCCCTCATTAGAAACCCATGTTGTTTGACTCCATAAGACCATCCTCCAATTTCTAATTGTCTGCACAGTGAAATAAGATGCACAAACATGCATGCACTCCTGTACAGTTGCCCAAAGCGCTCTCTCTCTCTTCTCTGCCACAAATATTTAACATAAGATTGTGCACATGGCAGTAAAAAAAAAATAAAAATGCCATTGAGCCACGTCTCCATGTTAACCTGAGATAGAAAGAGAAAACAAATGAACTTTCTGTTGGTTTTCTATTTGTACTGCACCTTAAAAAGGTAAAGGTACCCCTGCCCGTTCAGGCCAGTCTTGCCAGACTCTAGGGTTGTGCGCTCATCTCACTCTATAGGCCGGGAGCCAGCGCTGTCCGCAGACACTTCCGGGTCACGTGGCCAGCGTGACAAGCTGCATCTGGCGAGCCAGCGCAGCACACGGAACGCCGTTTACCTTCCCGCTGGTAAGCGGTCCCTATTTATCTACTTGCACCCGGAGGTGCTTTCGAACTGCTAGGTTGGCAGGCGCTGGGACCGAACGACGGGAGCGCACCCCGCTGCGGGGATTCGAACCGCCGACCATGCAGTCGGCAAGTCCTAGGCGCTGAGGTTTTACCCACAGTGCCACCCGCGTCCCTACTGCACCTTATTCAAGCTAAAAAAGATTTGAGGCCATAACTACTCCATCTGCTACCGCTGAGCTGCCAAGCTCTCCATCCCTCCACCTTTAAGTGTTTCAGGACACTCACCTGTGTCAGGGCACCATCATATCCTGCGCCCCACCAACCCCAAACTCTGAGGGGAAGACCCAAGCAGCATGACTAGATATTTGAGCAAGGAGACCAGGATTAGCCAGGGAGCTGTCCAGCAGTATCTGAGCTGTGAAAGCAGGTCCAGTGTGTGGTGAGCTGGAGCAGCTAGGGCACTGTCCATCAGTAGCTGAATTTGCAAGGGCCTGGTGAAGGAGCTGTCCTATCAAAGATACTGTACCAGGAGCTATCTGATGGAGACTGAAGAGCTTTATATTAGAGCTGGCTACCATGCTTCTTCCTGGTAACTCAGCAGGATCCTGATCTGCAGTTCATACCACTGCTTGCCTCTTCCTCTGGAGTATTTGGGCTCATCCAGACTTCCTTTTGTGTCTAGGCACAGTCCCACGCTATAAAGCTTTGAAAAGCACCATGTCCGAGTGCTTGCTCTTTTTTTTGCCTTGATGCTTTCCTTATGAAAATTTGCTCTTTATTTCTGAATCGGAGCAAACAGCAATCTGTGAAAAACCTGAATTGCTGTTTGTTTCTATTTGGCGTTAAAGAGCAGGTTTTCAAAGGGGCAGTAGTGGAGCAAAAGAAAAAGTACTCTTTAAGGTGAAGACCTGTGCCTAGAAAGCACGGCACAAATGGAAGTGCGGATGAGCCCTTTGTTTGTTTGTTTGAAACATTTAAATATCACCAACCTATTTGGATTTCAGGCTGGCACACAATCCATTTATATCATAACATAATCAGCAGCAATATATAAGAATGCAATCCTCTTTAAAAAAAAAAAGTGACAAAAACAAGACCAAGCTGTAGCAGTTTATAATCCCTGGGTGAACAGAAATGCTTTTGCCTGGCTCTGAAAAGAGCACACAGCTCTGCTCTTTTATGGCTTATTGATGTCTCCCAACATTATTATTATTTCCTGATGATAACACTAAAATGAGAAATTGAGGGGAGGTAAGTGTCTTGCGTTTAGATTCAACTTGTTCTCATTTCAGGAATGAAGTTCCTCTACATCAAAGCCTAAGCAAATATCAGGCCACTGAAGAAGGCTCTGTTGAAAAGCTTTTGGCCAAATTGTTATTAAGGAACACTCATTTCCATATGCTTTAATGGGCATTTTGCCTTTATAAAGGTGATAAGAATGCTTGCTTTAATATTTTTACCCTTACTTTTATGAGTGGGATAAAATTATTATTTTTTTGTTACATAAACTTGATACAGTTCTTTTCCTTAACATTTTTAAGTTGAGCATGGTTAAGAATAAGGTAAAACTTGGAAGTTTCTGCTGAAAGGGTTGCAACATAGGCACCTGAGGAGCATCTTTTTGGAGGGGATTCTGTAATTGAGGAGGGTAGGGAAAAGCCCTCTCCCTTGTAATTAAATAGTGTACATGCTGAGCTTCAGTGTGTTCTTTCCTTCTGGCACCTCAAAGGTGATAGTGGCAGGTCCAGAGCTAGGGTGGGTTTTTTGGGAGGTTGCTGGGTCCTTCAAAATTTCAGCCTCCTCAGGCAGGGTGTGGGCTGGGAATCCCGGGAATTCCTCTGGGAATCCTGATGCTCTGTGGTTCCAGACAATCTGGGCTGGGGGATGGAGTCTACTGTGTCATCTGGAGGCCATGATGATGCCCATCCTTGTTCTAATGGAATGACTCCAGTCATCATGTTAATGATTGAGGAAGGGAGACCATGGAAGTAGTATATCCCCCATGCAACAATAACAACTTCCCCAGAATCCTCCCCAGGGTCAGCCCAAGACATTTTTCTGCCTGAGGCAAAGGACAAAGTTGTGCAGCCCACACCCAATTCCCCATGTATAAAGGCAGGTTGAATCCTTCTTCAACACTTGTAACAGTATCCTCCACCACCGTTGAGATTGACAGGCTAGTTTAGGCGGTGTACACAACTCTGTCTTCCATCAGATTGGAATGGCCAGGGGGCTGATCCCACCTCCCAGCCCTCAGAAGACACTGCCTTACTCTTCCCAATGGTAGGACTGGTCCGGAGAAAGATGAGAGACTGCACAACTTTCCCAGCTATGCACTCCCCCTGGGGCCACACAAGCTATCCCTCTTGATTACCTCTTAGTCTGGGAGCCACTTTTCTCACCAACGTAGCTCTTCCGGTTGGGGCTCAATTCAGCGACCTCCTTTTCTGACTTCTCAGCCAGCTCCTGGGCCTCTAGAGGCAGTTCAGGATCCTTTGTGAGTGTGTTCTCTGATCTGGAAGGCAGTGCTGGTGTTAGAGGCTGGAGGCTGCCCGAGCTGTCTGAAGATATGATTGGCTCAGATGTTTTCTTGGTCTCAAATTCCTGGGCACTGGCCATTTTGGTGGCAGTGTGAATATTCCAATTGTGCTTTCCTGAAGATGCATGTTTAGGAGATGAACTCTGAAGAAATGGAGAATGGGGCATTCAGCCAGGGAGAAAGATGACCAAAGAGTCATGACTTTCAGCTCCAAATGTCTCCCACCCTCCATGTACAGATATTGCTCCAGTTCTCTAAACCACCAGCTAGGCAGCAGGAGGTTGGGCTTTGAAGCCCTTGATGTCCCACCTGAGACACAGGTACAGGGCTCATCCTTAACCCACTCTTCCCCAGGATGCAAACCCAGATATACAAGGTCTGCTCCATTTCCCTCTTCTTCCCATTCTGTTCCCCACCAATTCCCAGGGGCCAGAGCTTACTGACCTTGAGAGCGTTCTTCACTTTGCCTTTGAGAGGCAGTGATGGAGCTGACGAACTGGGTTTCAGGCTTTTGGGCTTCTTCCCTTTCTTCTTCTTTGGATGCTCATCAAGGTTTTCTTCGGAGGGCGGCCGCAGCATTTGGACAATCCTGACCCAGGCATCAAAGAGATCACCTCGCTTGTCTGACTCACACAGCTGGAGGTAGAAGGTGCGGCCACTCACCAGCTTGAACCGCAGCTGCTTTTTCTCTGCATTGTGGATGCTGATCTTGACGTAACGCAAAGGGAATAACCTGCATAGGTGTGTGTGTTGAGGGAGTGAGATTGGGAACAGTTAAGGCTTTAAAAACTGCAGCTTACTGTTCTGCACCACTGAAATGATCATCTGTAAGGAAGAAAGCAATGAAAGTTAATCTGTAAGAAAGCAGATGCTCTGTCTCAGTAGCTCAGCAGCAGAGCATCTGCTTGGCTTGCAGAAGGTCCCAGGTTCAATCCTGGGTCATCTCCAGGCAGGGCTGGGAGTGTTTTCTGTCTGAAACCCTGGAGAGCTGGTGCCAATCAATATTGACAATATTGGGCTAGATGGACTGTTGATGTGAATCTGTACAAAGCTACCGTATTTTTCACCCCATAGGACGCACCGCCCCATAGGACGCACCTAATTTTTTTTGGGGGGGGGGAAATAAAGAAAAAAAATATATTCCCCCCCCCAGGCACGGGGCAGGCGCGGGGGAAGCCCGAGCTTCCCCCGACCCCAGCCCCCAGAACAGCCTGCTATCCGCAAGCCTAGGGAGCCGCGCCGGTCTCCCCAGGCTTGCGGAGAGGTGTGCGAAGCCCGGGCGCGCTCTTCAGCGTGCACCAGGCTTCGGAATGCAGGCAGCTCTGCGCCACCCTCCAGATCCTGGCATGAAGCTGCGCGGGGCTCCGGAGGGTGGCACAGAGCGGCAGGAAGCACGGGAGCGCAAGCAGCTCTGCGCTACCCTCCGGAGCCCCGCGCGGCTTCGCGCCGGGATCCGGAGGGTGGCGCAGAGCTGCAGGAAGCCCGGGAAAGCCTGCATTTGCCCCATAGGACGCACACACATTTCCCCTTCATTTTTGGAGGGGAAAAAGTGCGTCCTATAGGGCGAAAAATACGGTACTTGCTATGTTTCTATGTGACCTTTTTCTAGTTCAAGATAATTTATTCATTTGTATCTTTAATAGCATGGGTGGATGAATCATGTGGACTAGTAGTTTGAAATACTTGTTATAAGCTTGCTCATACACATTTTGAAAAGCCCAATGCTGTGCGATTTCATGGAGTTGTCTTCACAGAATTTGCATTAGGATGCAAATGCTGATTCCCCCCCCCCCCCAAGTTAGCCTTGGTTTCTCAGCTGCTAAAAGTATAGGGAGGAACCCGGGGCTTACTCTTCACTCATCTGTGATTTCACCAATGAAGCAAAAGTACTAGGAACAACAAACCTCCAGTGATTGAACTGTACAGGGAGAAGAAGAGTCTGCTTTTGCCACCATCCTTTTCATGTTGAAGTCATGCTAGTGCAATGATAACTGGAATTTTTGCCATCAACCTTTTACAAAAACAATCATCCTCAAAGCACATGGCTGTTGGCATTTCAAGCAGGGAGGCATTCCCACAATATCCTCCAATTCAGCCACAGGTTTGCTGGTGATGAGGACACACAGTTCCCACTAAAGCCATTTGGGCAAATACAGAACAACCAGAACAGGTGAATATAGGTTCCAGGGCTGAGCCATAGAGACCTGTGACTCAAATTAAGCCCCACTTCCCTTGCTTCCTGTGATGTGCTATGGAAATTCACTGAGCATGGGATATTGTCACCTGGCCATGCCCCTGATGCCACTGCAGAAAGACTCACCTGGTTAGCTCATATCTTGGTGGTGGGTGACGGTGGAAGATGCTTTTTGCCTTTGTAGTGTGCTCTTCAGATGGGGCAATGGGCCGTGCCAGGAGCAGCACATTTGGGATCAGCAGGACAGGGCTTGTAGAGGTAATGCCAAGAGTCACAATATGCTCCTGGTTGTGGATCTCAACTGGGCCACCTTGTTTGCTGATCTGAGGGTACAAGATAGACTTAACACACAGTTTCCCGCCTTCTAAAAATGGACAGTATCTCAACCAGCCTCCTCCAACTTGGTGCCCCTCTAGATGTTTTGTAGCACAACTGCAATAATCTCAGATGGTTGGCCATGCTGTTGGTGGGGCTGATGGGAATTGCAGTTGAAAAACATCTAGAGGGCACTGGGTTGGGGATGGCTGGATGAATCCTTATTGCTAGTGTTTGTGTTTGGAGAGGGACAGTGGAAATTACATGTACTTTCCTTTGCTGCCTGCCCTTTAAAAATTTATTTTCATTGGGTGATATTCAACTAATTTTTAACCAGTATAGATTCAGGACAGACCAAAAAAAAAAGCACTTCTTCATGCAGTGCACAGTTAAAAGTATAGAATTTGCTCCCACAGGAGGTAGTGATGGCCAGCAGCTTAGACAGTTTTAAAAAGAGGATTAGATAAATCCACAGAGGATAAGATTGTCAATGGCTACTAGCTATGTTGTCTGCGCTCTTCGGTTGGAGACAGTAAATGATTCCGAATACCAGTTGCTGGAAACCACAGGAGGGAAGAGTGCTCTTGAGCCCAGGTCTTGCTTGCAGGCTTCCCGCAGGCAACTGGTTGGCCACTGTGAGAACAGGATATTGTGCTAGATGGGCCACTGGCCTAATCCAGTAGGCTCTTCTTATGTTCTTATCCACTGAAATTAATGAACATGACCAACTTAAATCCATTCATTTCAATGGGGGTGCTCTGAGTAAAAGTTAGTTAAATGTCACCCTTACAGTATCATATGTATTTCATATGAGATTTCTGTGGGACCTAAGTGTGACTAAGTCTGGATTGAACTTAATGTATTTGTGGAGAATCTGGTGAATATATAAACTGAATATAATTTCCTTCTGACATTCTTCCAGCTATGAAGGCTGAAATATATATATGAATGACTTAACCCCAAAAGGTACAAGTTGGTATTTAACATAATTGCCTCAAAATCCATCAACAGACATGGGCTGGGAGCTTGGAACAGAAAAAATGGTAGAATGTTACCAAGTGCCTATAGCTGGTGAGCTGCATTTGCCTGATGCCTCACAAATCATGCAGGCTTGAACTAATCCCAAACAAACAATCACAACTAATCTGTGATGTGTGGATAATAATTCAGGGGTAGCCAACCTGGAGCCCTCCAGATGTTGGAGTACAACACCCACCATCATCGGCCATGCTGGCTGGAGCTGAGGGGAGTTGTAGCCCAACAACCTCTGCAGGGTGCCATGTTTGCTCCCCTTGGAATAATGATACACTAGCCAAGAGCAGAACTTTTAAGGTCCCGGAACCTATCATTTTAGGAATGAAAGCATTTACCTAGCCTTGCTGGCCTGCAACTCTCCTTTGTACCTGTTTAGATTCCTGCCTCCTACACCCCCACCGAACCTCTCAGGAGCTTACCTGGATAAAGTCACTTTCAAACATGGGGGAAAACTGGAACATTCCGTATTCCCCCTGGCGCAGCTGGCGCTGGAGGGGCCCCATTTTCCTGGTGAAAAAGGTTTTCCCATGGCTTGCTTCTGTGCCTGGCATCTTGGAAAACAGCAAAGATTAAACTGAGAAATGGGGCCAACTTTTCTAAGCATCTGTCGTGATAGTCAACTAAGTTTTACTCGGCGTAGGCCCATTGAAATTGAAGGTCCCCCACTTGGTCATGCTCATTCAATTTCAATGTGCCTACCACCCCTGGTTTTCAGATTCAAGTTTCCCCGTGCAAAGTTTGGTATTTGTAGAGGCGATGAAAGCTTTTCAGCTTCAAAATGTGGCCTTTTGCTCTTGCTAGGGTGGTGAATGCTTCATATTCAAAATCAATGAAAAGAGCAAAGTTTTGTGGGAAGAGTGCTTATTTACCCTGTTGTTACGGTAGGAATCAAAAGCAACCCCCCCCCCAAAGCCTATCTTGCTTCAGAGGGATACCACAGGGCTCAGAAGCAGTGTAAATTGAATATTATACCAACATACTATTTGAATTCCAGGCCAAATCCAGTGCTAGCTTCAAACCTTTAGGGCCCTAAACCAGGGATTTGGAACCTCAGCCTTGAAAGCAGTCCTCTGGCTTCTCTGTTTGTCCCTTGGGACTCTTATTCAACCACACCCCTTTCCAGGCTGCACCCTTAAATGGCTCTGCTCTGTGCCTTCCATTAGTGTGGAGATGTGGAACCTGTGACTCTCCCAAATATTGCTAAACTGCAACTCCCATCAGCTCCAGCAAATGGCCAGGGATGGTGGGCCCTGGAGGGACGAAGGTTCCCCACACCTGCTTTAGTTGCTCCCCCCCCCGGCTGGAATATGTACTTGCACTGATGGAGAGAGATGTGCAGGATGTGGTTGTAGGTAGAAACCTTTGGCTTTGGCTGTACAAAGCTAAGAGTCACACCTGTTGCTCTGCCCGCTTCTTCCTCTGGTCCTGCCCATCCCTGCCATGTGGCCCCCAGGAGGTTGCCCACAAGGGAGTTTGGCCCTCAGGTTGCAAAAGGTTCCTCACTCCAGCGCTAAACAGTTGGGACCAAGCAGCATACCTCAAGGACCACCTCCTTCCATGCAAACCTGCCAAGGCAGTCACATTAATGCTGAAAGCTGTACCACACTTCTGTTGGAGGTACACAATGCCAGGTATGTGATACAGGGCCTTCTCAGGACTCACTCACACTTCCACTTGTCCCATGATTTCTAGTCACGGGTCCAATAGTGTGTTGTTGTTGTTGTTTGTTGTGCCACTTTCCCTGGGAAACCCCACTGTTTACCAGTGAATTGGAACAAACGTCAATCCACAGAAAACCCAACTTTTTTTTTTTATTTAGCACTAAACCGTGGGGTTTCCTGGAGAAAATGGCAGGACAAAAAAATGAACTTTTGAACCCATGACTAGAAATCCACAAACAGAAGAATGACGAGCCCTTTAAGTTTGCCTAGGTAGCCATCCCTGGAGCACTCTGCCTCTCTTCACAGCTGCTTCACAGAAGTGGTGGTGGTGGGGTCTAGAAGTGGTGGTGGAGGGGTCTAGCACCCTCCTCCTTCCTCTTCCTTACAGTCAGCAACCTCCCCTCCCCACCCACCCATGATTTCCCACCAGACACAGGAGGAGGAAGTTGGCATTCTGATTAACACTGGAGTGGCCGTTTATATATCCTCAAAACAGACAACAAATGATGGCAGAGTGCCAGCTTGCCCTCCGCCCCCTCCTGAAAAGAGGCAGTGACTGCTTCTTGAGAGGTCAGGGACACAATGGCACCCCTCCCTGTCAGCTCCTCCTCCTTTAGCTTTAAACAGGACTTAGGCCAGATATTTCCTCTGGCAGCCCTTCGAATAGACGGCTGTCCTCTGTAAGGTAGGAGACCTGGCCACCCTACAGGCAGCTGCCATAATTGTAATTGCCCACAATGCTCTGAGGTCATGTCACATCCCTCCACAGCACTGAGGGCAATTACACTAATTACCACTCAGTGCTAGTTTGAGAGCTGGAAAAAAGGGGGTCCTGGAGAGTGGCATCATCATCATCAGGCTCTTAGTAGCTGCCCAAGGATGTCACCTGCTGACACACTGGGCCTGCTTTTAGCTAGCTGCAAAGACCTGATTCTTCCAACACACACTTGGGCTAAAAGGGGAGGGGGGTTATTGTTTTGTTCTGTTCTTGTTTTTATTATGTATTTTGTCTTATCCTGTATTTTTATGCTGTGAACTGCCGTGAGACCTATGGATGAAGGACAGTATACTACTACTACTGCTGCTGCTACTACTACTAATAGAAGTGAAACTGTTTCTTGTTGGCTGTGCTGCTAATTTTAATATTATTGACGGTCTTTTTACTGTGCCCCTTCTGATTTTATGCTGCTGTCCTTTTAATGATTACATGATTGCTTTTAATGTTATCCAGCTTGAGATGTCTTTGACTGAAAGGCAGGACATATTTTATCTTAATAGCAATATAATGAGCATATATGCATTGCATGCCATTCTAACCCCACCCCCAGAATCAAAGGGATTGTAGTTATAGTTCTCAGTGTTCTTTATGGTCAGAAATCTCTAGACTTCCTCAAAATAACTAGAAACTCCAGGATTCTCTGGCTAGAAGGAATGACCATTAGAGTTCAATATTGCTTTATAAATACAGCCTGTTAATTATAGTAGTTGGGGAAGGCTGGGGGCGGGAGGAGATACACACACACACACACAGAGAGAGAGAGAGAGAGAGAGAGAGAGAGAGCAGTTTGCCTAGGGCTATCCAGTGAGATCCATGGCTGAGCTGGGATTTGAACCTGGTCCAAAGCTAACACCACTATACCATTATCCTTTTTGCCTTCATGGAAGGGACTGAACCTTTTGCTTGTTATTTGACTCTAGTACTAATAGGATCTTTGGGAGCAGTGGGTATAGATTACAAGCCCTTTGCTGGCACTAAAACAGCTTCATTTTCGTGGGTTTAAAAGTTCATTTTTTACTGCAAACTCTGGAATCTGGTAGGTCAGGGATAACTAACACTGTGCCCCCAGATGCTGTTGGACTTCTGCTCTCATCAGTTATGGCAAGCATGGCCAATGGCCAGGGATGTTGGAAATTGTATCATTATCATCATCATCATCATCACCATTTATATCCAACCTTTCCTCCAAGGCACTCAAGGTGGTGTAAATAGTTCCCCCCATTTTATCCTCACAACAGCCCTGTGAGGTAGGTTAGACTGAGGGTGAGTGACTGGCCCAAGGTCTTCCAGTGAACTTCATAGCTGAGTGGGGATTTGAACGCCACTAGTCCAACACACTAACAACTACACAGCACTGTTGTTGTAACCAGCAGCATCTGAAACCCTTGCCTGACATTAGCTTCTCCTTTCTTAGAGTCTAGCTTCACTCAGGGTTCACCTTGGAACCTGTTTTAAATACCTGGGCTCAGAACTAGAACCTTGAGAACAGAACAGAGTGCCTCTGTGAAAATGCAAAGAGCCTTTGTTAACCTCTGAATAATCACAACTTGGTACCATATTCCTGGGATTAGGGGAAGGACCTCCAGACCAGCAGACACAGCTTCTACAAAGATTTGAGGCCCAGCAATTCTTTTATTTTAAACTCTTAAACTTTTACCCTGTCCCACACCCCAGACACCTACCTGTGCTCACTCTACTCATGTTATCTTCTTGTCTATCAGATTCTGTTATTCAGAGCCTCCTCTTTTGTCACACTGGCAGGTGTTTTATGACATCACTGATGTCTCTATTGCTTCTTTAGCCCAATCATTGCTCACCTGGTTTACAGGTGACGAAGTGGGTCAGAGAGATCATATAAAATAATTAATCTATGTAAATCAGTGGCTGAGCAGAGCTTTGAACTCAGACTGCTGTCCAGCAGGATGTAGATGACAAAACTTAAAATCCAGTGATAAATGATATAAAGTTTGATACAAACTTTAGATCTGTGTGTGTGTGTGTGTGTGTGTAATAACCAGTAGAGAAGGTAGGAAGAAAACAGACCACATAAAACACAAAATAGTATGTTAAGTATACTATTAAATAAAGAATTAAAAACAATGCAATTTTTTAAAAATGAGAAATATAAAATAATTGTATTAAAATGGTAGGAAAAAACAATGTAAGGTGTTAATAATTTTAAAATTAAGGCAAGTTCCTGTGACAACAAGATTGAGTCCCATTAAGCTGCTTTTTATCACATCAGGGGAAAAGGTAGGATATAAATAAATAATGATAATAGATTTCACATTTTTGGAATTCCCAGTGGGATCCTGTTGATCAGGTTCTGAGTTCAGAGGTGCAAGATTCAAGTTCAGCTCCTATATAAGTCCTCCTTTCTGATCACAAGCCATGGGAAGTACCAGCTAAAAAATGGCTTTGGAGATGCAGTTGGTTGTGGTTATAAAAGGGCTTTCTCAGTGATGGCCTCAGCTTTTTGGAATGCTTTCTGTAAGGAGAGGCAGGCAGGTCCCAGCCCTGCAGATGCAAATTAGCGGAGGACAGGTCTGAATCTTAAGAGTTGTGTAGAATGTGGGAGTTTGGAAAGTGCAGATTTTCTCACCTTTTTATGACAAGTAGGACCTGCCAAAATTACTACTTCCCTGCCCCTCACCACCCTACTCCCTATAGCTACTGTTGCCTCAGACTGAGAGAAGAGTAGGGCAACCCCAGGCATTCATTTGCTTGTACCACAGCAGCTGCCTAAATTATGGGCTGCAAGGTGGAGGCTTTGGCTTTATTGATCATCAGTCTGCAGTTGCTTTGGGGTGAGGAAGGGATCCAGTCAGTGGCCCCCTTAGTCTCAATTCCCCATTCTTGAAATGGACAGAGAGGTGACCAGTTTAACCGTATGGTGTAGTGACAGTGAATCAAGAAATGGAGTATATTGCATTTTATCCAAACCAAAGACCCATCGAAACCATCTTTTTTTTTTCCAGATGGGGGTGTAGCTGGCAAACCAGCCAAATCTCCTTTGTTATGTGTTGCTTGTGCCTTGTTGAGCCTACTGCCAAGCACCTTAACGGGGTGGACCTAAGTTCAATCATGGAAAGGGGGAGAAAAATTCTCCCCCCATCCACTCTCTCCATAACGTGCCTCCCTCTTGCTTGTCTTTTAAAAATTTATTCTGATCTATAGCTCCTGAAGCTTTAGTATTTTCTGGAAGGGAAAGATTATCCAACCCTTTCATTATTTTGGCTACTCCTTTCTGCACCTTTTCAAACTCTGTGCTGTCTTTTCTGAGAAGGTGTGGTTAGAGCTTCATGTCTCAGTGCTATTGAGCTTGTTGCAAGCACTAGAGAGAATCATGAGGCTTACCTCTAGTTCCTTTTAGCCACACGAGGGTGCTGCCTGAACACTTGAAAGGCTCTGTTTAAATGACATGACTATGTTTGCTCATTTTATTGAGTGGGGGGAGGACAATGAGGTCAGCGGCCAGGCAGCAGCATCCAGTGCAGGCATAGTCAACGTGATGACCTCCAGATGTTGCTGGGCTACAGCACCTATAATTCTTGACCGTTGCCCATGCTGATTGTGACTGGTGGGAGTTGTAGTACAAATGTATTGAGGGCACCACATGGCTATCCTTCATCTAGCCAGAGCAGAGTCAGTGCATCTCCCGAAGATGTCCCACAAGGCAGTGGAGGTTTAGCATCAGTTTTCTTTCTCTTAGATGGGCTACCTTCCCAGGTTGGTGAGCCCTACCTGTCCCTCACTTCCTTCTACAGCATATGCAGAAACTGCCTTCTTGACCAATGGACCCACCATTATTCTCATCCCCTCAGTCTACTGAGCCTGTCTTCACATGCGGGGAAGGATTTGAGACCCATCGACTACCCTCACCTGGTTTAGCCAGCCAGTTGAAGCTGTTCCCAGTGTGTAGCCACTGTTACATGCTGACAGCTTCTAGGAGCCACAAATGAGAACTGAGTACAAGGTGGAGACCAAAGATGGACAAACCACACCAGGAGCACAATGTGTTCCCCACCAGAGATACCACCCCTCCCCTAACACCCCACACAACTCCCACTAACACTCAACAATTGATCATAGTGGCTAGGGCTGATGGGAGCTAGAGTGCAACAGCATCTGGAAGGCCACAGGTTTCCCACCCCTGTTCCTAGTCCAGTGCTATCAACTCCCAACTGGCCAGGGTTTCAGGCAGGGGTCTCTTCCAGCCATGCTACCGGATAACCTTTTCTTTTTTGAAACTGCAGATTTGATCTGTGACCTTCTGAATCCAGAACATGTGCTCTGCTAGGCGATGGCCTCTTTCCATTTATTTATGATCCCTTTAGGTTTATTAACTGCATTAGCAATGTCCACAGCAATGCTAAATATGGTCAATGCAAATAAGGGATCTTTATCTTGCTACTATAGAGAAGACACAGATGCCCATGAGAAATAACTTAACCAAATGATCAGATCTTAGTATTTCTAATAATTAGTAATTCTTGCAAAGATGATGTGAAATTAGTATTAGTATTACCCTCATGTTAGTATTACCATAATGTATTGAAGATGATATGGTTGAAATGGTTCCTTGTCCCAGCTTACCGAGTATGTTCCTGAGTGATGTCAATTTTGATCTAGGATTTCCTGGTTCATAGCTCACTAGGCTGTACTGCAGTGTCACATTTTAAACCTAGGATTGGGTAGCTCTTATTGATCTCCAAGTCCTATCAGCTCCAGCCAGCATGGCCAACGATTGGGGATGATGGGAGTACTAGTTCAGAAACATCTGGAGGGACACAGGTTCTCCATCTCTGTTTAAAAACTAATACAGTTTTGAAGATGATAGATAGATAGATGGATATAGATATATGATAGATAATTTGCTGTCAGTGCACAAGAATGCTTCTCCAAGAGGTTTTGCACTCATTCTAAAAATTGTTGCGTTATAAATTTCCCAGACCATCATTTTATTGCTCCAAATAAACTGTAAGATGCAATCCTGGATTGCGAGTGCAAAGGGCTCTTGAGAAAAACCCAAGCAGGGTTTCTTTGTAGAAGCATCATGCTGTTATATGTTGATTGGGAGCACAGGGATGAATTTGAGCCAAGATGCACTGAGCCTTTACTGCTGAACCTCTTGTTTCCTGTCTAAATTTTTGATCTGCTTCATCTCTAAGGCTGCTACAACATTTTTTTAAAAAAACCCAACAACAACCCTGTCAAGCTAAAATAACCAGTTGTTGGTACATTTTTATTTCTTTTTTTCTGGTGCATTTTTCAAAAAGTCTCAGCATAATCTACCTCACAGGAATGTTGTGAGAATAACATGGCATAACTGCATGGCTTGAGCTCCTTGAAAGAGGGGCAGTGATCAATAAAACCTGGCTCCTGTTTAACTCAAGGCATTAACCCAAGTCCAAACAAGAAAGCCTTACAGCTTTTCTAGAAAAGATGTTCAGATGCACGTTGGCGAACCTTCAAGATAAAGGAATTGCCCTGTCATGGACCTGCTACTGGGAATTCTCTGTTCATGCCCTAGGAGCTCAAAGATGGGGAACCTGTGCTTCTTCATGGCTTGGACACATAAACTGTTTTAATTGTCAAAGCTCTGCACTGGAAGCAATAATTTGAGAGGTCTTCTGATTATGTGCAGAGTAATTTTTCAGTGCCGCTGAATAACTGTTATATGCCTCTTCCCTCTTCAACCACCTGCCTTCAGTGTCAAAGCATACGCCACTATTTAAGAGGGAAAGTGTTCCTGATCTCACTGTGCTCCAATAAAACTAGTAGATATGGAACTCCTCAGAGGAGCACTACCACCTTGAAGAGCATGGGAGGGGTGAGCTGCGGGCAAAGCTGGACTCCCTTTAGGGCAGAAGGTACTTAATGCATAAATAGTCTGAACGACTGTAATTTTGCATTTCCGCCTCATTAGCCAGATCAATATACAACAGTTACCCTTCACCTCAACTGCATCGTTAGCCTATCTGTAATTTGCCTGCTATTAAGTACTCTCTGGCTCTTGGCATGCAGCAGTTGGGGGCATGAGAGGGTGATAGAGGCTATAGTGGGCAGGCAAGGGAGGTGTGATGCAGCTCAGACTATGATAAAAAATACCAGTTCAACTCCCAGTTGCAACCTGAAGCCAAAGGAGAGATGATTAAACCATGCAGATGGACAGCTGGTCTCTTTCTATGTTCTCTGCAGCACTTTGGACAGCACTACACATTTCATATTCTGGTTCCAAACTACAGGCCTTGGGTGCTAGTCAATGTTAGCTCCACTCAGAATAGATCCATTAAAATTAATATACATGACTAAATTTTGGTGTGTCTATTCCTGAGTAGAGCTTTTTGAACACAACCCTTTGCAGGGTCACCCGTCCACATCTTGTATTTGCTGACCTATTATATAATTCCAGTGTATGCCTATCACTTTAATCCTCTTATGTAAGTTGTTTTGTAAAATTGGCCTGCAAAGCTGTATATAAATATCGTAAAAATGAATACAAAAGGGTAAACTATCACAGAAAACACTGGCCTCCCCCTCAATCTAGTTGATGAAAGCTTCACTTTATAGTTGATCAGTGTGAACATGAGTGCACATCCTTCCTGAGCAAAGCCTTGAAAGGTTTAGACTGACTGTTTTAGCATGGCCTTGTATCCAAGCCTGTACTGGATTATTGGAGGATTGCACTGGGGAAGATGCATAAACAGATTGGTGGTGAGAGAGAGAGGAGAGAGAGAGAGAGAAAGAGAGAGAGAGAGAGAGAGAGAGAGAGAGATTGAGGGATGGATGGATGGATGCAACAGTTCCCGAAGTTCTGTGATACGTTACTGTGACCAAGAAACTAAATGGAGGATAAGCATATGCAGAGATAGGAGGCAGAAGCTTATATAACAGAAGCTTATATAAGCAGATGTGAGAAAAGGTATAAGCCCTGTGGGATTGGGCCACTGGGTGCAGAGAACAAGCTTAACTATCATCCCAGTGACATCTCCAAATCAGTGTTTGAAACTCCCATTGAGGACCTTTTTCTGCCTCATCAATTCTAACTACTCTCTGAAGACTGGAGAAGAGACCCTCTTAAGAATATTAGGGGGTCATGCAGGGGAAGGACTAGACCGTGTGAAAAATGAACATAATATTTTAGCGGCAGTTCATTCATTTTCAGCTTTGTGTTCTTGCTATTTAAAAAAGTGTGCTTAGACATTCCATTGTTGTGCCCATAACCTAGGTTTAAGGTGCCATTTAGCTACTAGTTTTCATATCTCAGTTTCTAACATTGCTCCAAATGTTTCCTCTTTATATTCTCCCACATCAGTGCATGGCAACCTTTCACTCCCGTTGGAGAAAATGAAGCCCAGCATTTTGGGGCTCTCTAGCATTGAGGCCAAATCTTGTCTGCCACCTTTGATGCACAGTGGCCTGGCCCTCCCTGGCAGAGATTCACAACATGGTGCAATGTAACTGTGTGTAAAACTCCCAGAAATTATTGCAACACACAAGCTCCCTCCCTCCACATATCCACAAGTAACTTTATAAATGAATAACTATGGGCCAAAGTTAAGCCCCTTTAAGCCTCATGCATTTAAAGAAGACACATTTAAACTTGTGCTTTAAATCACCATTTCAAGTCAATGGGATTTAAAAGTGCTCTGTGACGTTTGTTGGGTTTTTCCCACATTGCCTGTTGTCTGCCCTGCCTTGGTGTAATCAAGGAGATGTGGAGGGTGGCATTTACACCTGTCCCCACTGGCCTGTGCGCCACACACTCTGAGCTCCACCCACCCCATGCATGAAAGAGTAGTTTTTCTACTTTCCAACTGTACAATTCAAGAAGAACAAACCCAATGGGGACAGCTGGTCCCCAGCAGGTTCGTGCTGAGGAGGAAAATGTGCCCTGGGAGGAGTTGGCTTGGCAAGCTCTGAATGCCCCCTGCACCACCCCAATATTTCCTGGCCTGCCTGCAAACACCACCTTTATAATTAGAAGCTCCTTGCCTGCTGGGCCCTCTGTAGAGATCAAATGCTTCCCTTCAGCGCCAACATCCTACAGCCGCGTGTCTGCACGGAATACAAAGCACCACTTAACAGTTGCGCCTCATGCTCTGCATGAAAAGCTCCTGGAAACATGGCCTTTCTGCGGAGCTGATAATCAAGGGACTTGTTGCTTGGGGAATGCAGAAAGCCTTGCGGTGTAGAAAGAAAAGAGCGGGCGAAACCAATCATACGGCATCCTTTGTTGAAATGCCTGGTTCAAAAAGGGGAGGGAATTGAAATGAGAACCAGTTCCTCATGTGTTGGAGAGAGACTGTTCTGTAATCACATGGGGATAGCGGGCTCCCATCAGGGGGCCATGCCTGGATGCGGCACAGGCCCATTGTATGCTTATGGGCATTTCTGTCTGCCCTGTCACACTTCACAGAGGTTTCTGTGGGTGGTGGCTAAATTTCTCCTCCTGGCTGCAAAAACACAAAAGGAAGTCTCCCCTGATTAAACCTATCCTGTCTGGCTGTTGTTACAAATTTTAATTTGTTTATTTATTCATTTTAACCGACATTTAGGTACCTTTCATATTGGAAGGTATTGGGTTGCATAGCATATTTTAGATATGTTTCAGATATTCCAGACATCTCAAATATGTATTACAGCCATTTTAAAGTACTTTGTATGTTCTGATATTTTTACCTGTATGGTTATTGTTTTAATTTTGTTTGGGTCTTTGAATACATAATAAGGAGATTAAATTGTCACTGTGAACATCTTTCTTATTACGCGAGTGTGAGACACACCTCTCTCCCTCCCCAGCACACACTCTTGGTCACTCTCAGCCTGGGGCAGCTCCCCTGTCCCAATGCTGGGATAACCCATTGGCCTTTCCTCGTTGGCATGATTTAAAGAGATTAAATTGTCACTGTGAACATTGGCACCAGTGCTGTTTCCAGGACTCTTGAACAGTTGATTTTAGCGGGTTGCTCTCCCTGTGTGCACCCACTTCCTCTTTCTTGGCACTGTTGATGCAGTCCGTTCATTTGGCTCCCTTTCTCCCTCTCTAGGCCCAGTACATACTGCTACTGCCCTAGGAGAGAGATTGGACAAGGTATGCAGTGGTTGGTGCTCTTCTCATTACCTCCTCACTTGTCAACACCTATTTAAAATGCATGGCTTCCTGCAAAGAATCCTGGGAACTGTACTTTCCACCTTCACAAAGCTTCAGTTCCCAGTACCCTTAACAAGCTACCGTTCCCAGGATTCTTTGCAGGAAGCCATGCACTTTAAATGGAGATTTAGTCTGCTTTAAATAGATGGTGTGGATCTGGAAGGCATAGCAAGGAAGAGGAGCAGCACTAGGACTGATAGTGGGCCCTTGACTGGGGTGTGGGCCTTGAACCCAAACCACTGGTGCAGAATTTGGCAGCCAGTTGCTCACTGGGACAAAACGGTTTGAACATATTACACTGATCCTGGCCAGGCTGCAAAGTTTCCAGGCCAAATTCAAAGTGCTGGTTTTGACCTGTAAAGCCGTAAACGGCTCAGGACCTCAATACCTCAAGGATGGCCTCTCTCCAAAAAGTAAATGTGCATGAAAGGTCAGCTGAGCATGTGCAGGGTACTGGGAACTGCCAGCCTTTATGCATATCTGGGATAAATTAAGGAGAGCTTCTAGACTGGAGGGTGAACTTTGAACTAATTACTGACAATGATATTCCCCACTCCCAGCCCCTACTTTTTAACCCAGAATACCAACCTCTCAATACCGTACTGTCTTGTTGCTGCTCTGTTGCATGAGGAATGAGACTATCTGACCCAGTGAGACCTCTCCTCGTGGTAATGGACCATCAAGTTAATCACCAACAAGCAGTGTGGCCTGCAGAAAAGTGCCCCTTCTTTCCATTATGCTCTTCAATTTGCTGTCATTATCCTTGCTGGGGAGCATGCAGTGAGTTTCCTGCCCACAGAATTAATCGGCTTTTATAAGAACAGCACAGATTGATCTCGCCACTGGGGAAAAATTGTTTTTACACCAGAAACCATGTAGTGTAGTAGAGACCCTGGTTGGGGTGCAGCGTGTGTGTGTGTTGTGAGAAACTGAGTCCTAAAGCATAAACTTCACAGATGAGAGATCTCTGGTGAATAGATTTGTGGGGACCTATAGTCTGAGATCCCTGTTGAAAAGAGATGATGCCTGCTCTGATTGTTTGGCTCAGTCTTTCTCTCGGTCTCTCCTCTAGCTTCTCCTCTGAGGCTCTGTGATAATCATTAATGTTTATATTTCCTAACAATTTGTTCCCTATTGCCCCCCAGCTGCCTGCTTTGTGTTCCTCTCCTCATTACTCCACTTTTTAATTTTGCCATTATCTTGACTAAGAAATCTGCATAGGGTCAAAGTGTGCTAATCCTTTAATACTTTCAGATGTCTGTCACGTTTTTTATTTTATTTTATTCTCTTTGAACTCTCTCTGAGCTTTCTAACCAAATATGTTTAGGCCAGTAGCCCCTGTAATTCTTTGGTTCAGAAGATAATAGTCTAATGTGCAACTCCCTCAAATGAGATATTGTAGAGTTGGGAAAGGTTCAGGAAATGGCATCCGGAATGATCAAGGGACTGGAACCATTCCCCTATCAGGAAAGGTAACAACAGGCTTTACAGTTTAGAGAAATGGCGAGTAAGAGGTGACGTGATAGAGGTTTATAAAATCAGGCATGGCATGAAGAAAGTGGATAGCGTTAGAACTCATGGACATTCAATGAAGCTTTATGTTTGAAGATTCAGGACAAAAAAAAGAAAATTCCACTTACACCCCAGTATGTCATGGACTGGCTGGACACAGCGGAATGGTGGGAGGCACCAGAAGCAGGAGAGGAGGGGAGTCAGGAGACAGAGATGAGGCAGGCTGCTGAAGAATGCATGGAGCCTCCTCTTCCTGCGGCAAGCAGCTCCCCTTCCTCCTGGTCTTCCAGAACACCCAGAAAAATGAAGAGGGCAGAGCAATGAGAGGCAAAATGACAAAGCCTTAGGCTGCTGTGGGGAAGGACCTGAGGGAAGAGCCTTAGAGAGTGGTGGAAAGGCAGGGACCTTCAGTCCTCACAACTGCTTTATTGGGACAAGACCTACTGGGAAGAGTTGCTGTGACCACTAGGACTGAACTGTGTTTGTTTCTTTGAATAAAGAGTTAACTTCACTGACACTGAGTGCTTTGTTGTTTCATTGCTGACCTACACCTGACGAGCTCCTGACAGTATATAGCATAACTCTGGAATTTGCACCTTCAAGAGGTAGTGACGCCCACCAAGTTGGATAGCTTCGAAAGAGATTAGACAAATTAATGGAGGATATGGCTATCAGTGGCTACCAGCCTTGATGGATATGGTCTGCTTTCACAGTTGGAGGCAGTAATGCTTCTGAAATACAGTGGCTGGAAGCAGCAGGAGGGGAGAGTGCTGTGGCGCTCAGATCTTGTCTGCGTGCTTCCCATAGCCATCTGGCTGGTCACTTTGGGAACAGGAGAGAGAGAGAGAGAGAGAGTGTGTGTTCTAAAATACTATAATAATGTAATGTTGACCCTGTGAAGGGAGGGGACAGTCTGACTGGGGTAGGGCCTTGTTGTTGTTTTTGCCTGCCCCCTTTGCATATAGTGCCAGTTCAACCATAGAATCAATTTCCTAGTGGGATGGCAGGTTCTCTTTCACTGGAGGTCAAATAGGCTCTGTTTAACAGAGGCTTGTGGGCAGCCATCTGTTGGGACTGCTCCAGTTATGGATTTCCTAGAAGATTCCATTAATTCTATTGTTCTTTTCTAGTTTTGGAGCCAGGCTGGGAGAAAGGACTGCAGAATGGGAGGGGAAGGTTCACTTCTCCTTACCTGTTTCCTCCCCCCCCCCACTTTTTGTCACCCACCCACACCACTTTATCAAGGAACAAGGCAGGCATGCAAATAAGCAAACTTGCCAGTCAATCCCTAGGTCTAACCCCAGGTGCCTTGAATGTCGGCACTAGAGACTATCAAGATGGCATGGAGGCTTTGGTTTGGTCCATTGATTTATACAAGAATATGACAATGATGGCCCGTGGCTGTCATGCAGGTTCTTAGGCTTTGCAACCGTATAGCTAAAAAAACAACAAGTTACAGATCTAACCAAACTCACAGAATTTTTTAGGAAGTGAACATAATGCTCAAAAACTCAAAAAGGGCAGAATAAATGGTTAAAAAAATAGATCACAATTTGTCTGCATCGTTTTCAAGCTGTCTTGTATGTGATCTCTCAGCCCATCTCTTTTCTCCCTTGAAGCAGAGATGTGATGCAAACATGCAACTTACAGCAAAAGCCTCAGGGCCTGATTATAGGGGAAGCTTGTGAACAGCCTGCTGTTGCTGTTGTTTAATCTGAAAAGCAGCACTGAAGGCTGCGGATCAGGAGCTGAAGAGCAGTGGGAGGCCAAGGCTGCTTAACCCTTTTCTCACTCAAAATGTCTCTTCCCATCTACTTCCCTCATAACTTGTTTGCTGTGATGAGAAGCAAAGCTTGAGGAGGGCAGTTTTGAGAGGATAAACCACGGGAAGAAAAAGGGTTAAGTAGTCCCTCCTTCCTGCCATCCCTTCTCATGGCTCATTTTCTGTTACAATCAGTCAATCATGAAAGGTCAGAAAACTGTTCAGATATCTCCCCACATAATCTACTCGTTTGTCCATCAATTGACCCCATCAGTACCCAATATCCATTCCAGCCCAAGGAGGTCTCAGGGTAGGACTGGCAGGAGATCAGGCTGCCTCTTCCAAATGTTTTCCTCCTTTCTGACCTCTGCCCCCAGCAACAGCATCTGATTCCTGGCTAAGCCTCCCACTCAAGCGTCCTCCTTAGGAGTACAGCACAAGTATTCATGGTTTTAATTATTAATCTTCGGAAAACAAAGAGAGATTCATTAAAGCATGTTGCTTGCACAACGGAGACCTAAGATGATTCTCCCCACTCAACAATTAGTTGTTGAAACAGAGAAATAAAAGTATTATTAGGATTTGTCCTGCTTATTTATTTATGGGCCTTGTATAAACATTCTATCTTACTGATGGGTGCTTGTGCCTTGGCTAGATGGGGAAAAGCACAAAGCAAGGCATGCGTTTCTATGGTGGTTCACAGCCAGGCAGATGTTTAGGATTTAATTGTTTTAACAACCACATATTATTTCTAGGCTTCCCCCTTGCTCCCCAGCACCCCACTCTTCCCTACCCCCCTTCCATACACACACTTCTCACCCCCTCTATTTGGGAAGTGTGGCCCTGTATGCAGATATCTAAGAAGCCTCAATGGTGGGGGAGGGAGAGACACAGTAAGAAAGTGGTTCTTTTGAAGACAGAGGTCCCCTGCCTTTGCAAAAACCTGGGTGTCAGAAAAACCTCATCCTCCCCTCCAATCTGCCCCCCAAAGGGCAGGGGCATAGGGCAGTGCATACTCTTTGCCTTAATTATCTCAGGGAACGAAAGTGACAGACAGCACAACACAAGCTGCAACCCGGAGTCCCACCCTACCCCCATTTCCCCAGATCCTTCTGTGAAAAGTGAGACTGTTCCTTCATGGCTGAAGTGATCCTGCGGGCGTGTTGGTGGTGCAGGAATTGACATCTTCACGCCCAATTTCCCCCAAGCTTTCTTCCATGAGGAACTTTGTGGTGGCTGCACCCACCCGAAGCAAATTATTCACAGATAATTACTTCTTTAATTTTATTTGCAAATTGAAAGCCAGCTTTGGATAACCTTTTAGGATACTTACCATCATCTTAAGTTGGGGGGGGGTGAATGAAAGGGAGGGAATCAAATTAAGTCATGGAATTTCACACACACACACACACACACACACACACAGAGAGAGAGAGAGAGCATGGACCGCAGTCTTTTAAACTCTACTATTTATGTGATAATTCTGACTATGGATACCCCTTCTGATCTTTGCAGTGGGCATTGCATGGGCCCAGACAAGTGTATGAGAGAGAAGAGAAGATGGACACAGAGTATGAACAAATGCACATGCATGAGTCTCTGTTCCATTCTGACTTCCAGCAGGAGCCCCCAGAGCTCTCCTGACCCAAGGACAATGCAGTCACTCTAGTAGCTAAGGTTGGAGTTGCAGGACCTTGGAGAGTTCTAGATGAGCAATTTGTTTTGAGGCTCTGGAATGCAAATGAGGCTTTCCATGCCTTCATGCCCAGGCTATTGTTTTAGGTCCTGCCTCTTTTCATTGGAAGTGGTGGGAGTAACCTGGAGTCCAGTGCTCCATCTTTCCCCCATCATTGCCCCCTTGCCTTATTGTTTGTGCTGGTCATCCAGCAATGGGGAGCATGGGGACCCAGATGAGAAGGCGAATAGTTAGTTAGTTGGGGCCTTGAGACTCAGGGTTTTCTTAGGGTGCTTTGGGATCCCTCCCTCCCTACTTCCCTCCCTCCCTCCCTCCCTTCCTTCCTTCCTTCCTTCCTTCCTTCCCTCCCAAACCAATAATTATAAGAAGAGGAGGGGGGAACAATTTGAAATGTATAGCAGGGTCCACAATCCTACACAGCAGTGGCTGAGGTTAGGGAGAGGTGGGAAGAAATTTTAGTAGCCTAGATCCTGTGTTTTTCTACATATGGCATAATGTCTCCCCATGCCTACTTCTCATTGAGGTGGTAAACTTGTGCTTGCACTGCAAACTGATGTTGGGTTCTCCTCCGCCTTCTGTGTCTCCTGATGATCCATACGTCTGCCACAGTGAGTCATCTGTACCAGACATTTTTACAGAAGAAGAACTGAACGATCTTGTTCATGATCTAGAGCTGTCCAAGGCCAAAGAGGAGTTACTGGAATCAAGACTTCAACAATGGAATCTTCTTAAGGAAAGTGTCTGGGTGACTTCATTTCATGCCTGTCATGAGCAGTTTGCACCTTACTTCAGAAAGAAAGGTGACTTTGTGTTCTGCTACAATGTAGATGGCCTGATGAATGTCCCCGGAATCACACATAACTAGCAAGAATGGTGACTATTCACAGATTCCTCGAAATTCAGTCTCAAGGTGGTATTGCTGCATAATGGAAACAGACTTCCATCCATTCCAGTCAGACATACTATCTACATGAAAGAAACCTATGACAACCTAAAACAGCTGTTAGTCTGTCCTCAATTCAGCAAGTTTGGCTGGCATCACTGTAGTGACTTGAAGGCAGTGACAGTGTTGATGGGTCTGCAGCTGGAATATATGAAGTACTGCTGTTTCTTATGTGAATAGGGCAGCTGAGGAAAGACTTTGCACTATGTGAAAAGAGACTGGCCTCAGAGGAAATTTCTGAAGGTCAGAGAGAAGAATGTGTAACACCCAGCACTGGCAGAAACACACAATATCCCACTACTGCTCTGCTGCTACCCAACACCTCAAACTCAGTCTAGTGAAAAACTTTGTAAAAGCCATGGACCGGACTGGATCAGCTTTCAAGTACCTGCCTGACAAATTCCCTCGACTCAGTGAAGTGAAAATTAAAGAGGGAGTTTTTGTGGGTCCTCAGATCCACAAGCTCTTCAAAGACAAGATGTCTGACAGCCTAATACAGGGTGATGAGAAATAAGCTTGGGGTGCATTTCGTCTGGTGTCAACTGATTTCCTCAGGAATGTCAGGGCAGAAAGCTACAAAGGAACATGTTAAAGATCTACTTTCTTCATTCCCACTTGGATTTCTTCCATGACAACTGTGGTATGGTTAGTGATAAGCATGGTGAATGTTTTCATCAGGATATTGAAACAATTCCAGGGAAAACAATCCACCTCCCTGTTGGCCGAATACTGTTAGATGCTCACCAGAGATGATCCACAACAGCTATACAAGCAACAGGCAAAGCGGTGTCAGATGTAGAATCTGGCTTTTACTGGTGCATGTCATATGTATGTTTTCTTCAATTATATACTAAACTATTGTGGATCCCTAAGAAACAGTAGCCAATTTTGTGTTTTCATTGTCATATTCATGTTCAGCACCTCAAAATTTGTTGTGCAGTTAGTTCCCTGAACTGTAATTTTCCAAACCTTAATGAATGCAGATCATCTCTGAGCAAAGATACTCTTTAAGATGCCCTTCTCTGTCTTTTATAAAATTAGTTATTTAGCTACAGTGTGTACCTGGGGGGGGACGGACCTGTTCCAATAAAGGCAATTTTCCAACAAAGATCAACAGCTACTTTGGCTGCCTTCAGTAGATTTATCACCATTTGTAACCCTGCTTCTTCTACTTTCCACTTTGGGTGTGTGCATGTGCATGCTGTGATTTGATGAAAGGTGGACATGTTCCCTCTCTCTGTCGTGTGAATACTTTAATGCCATTGGAAGCACTCACTCTAATAGCTTAAGATGGGAGTTGTTTTTTCTGGGGTCATGAAAACGTTTACAAAACATGTCTCCTTCCCCTCTCCCATAGTTTGGTACATCCCTGGTTATACAGTGCAACCACTACTGGATTCCTACTGAGCTATCAGCGAGGTGGACAGATTTGCTATACAACTGATCAGAAGAATAATTGGCATTGCATACTGTGCATTGTGGAAAAAGGAAGTGAGCCAAGCAATTTCAGGAGGAGACCATAAATGGGCTTTTTAACAAATAACATTTTAATTAACCTGTCGTAGATTGTCCTCCTGTAGAAGAGCTGTTCTTCTTAATTAAAACAGCAGTGATATTCCATAAAGGTTCCTCCCCCCCCCATTTGAGCAGTAGTGCTGGAATTATTTATAGCAGGTGTAATTTGACTTAATGGCACCGTCGCTTCTTTTATTGCTACATTGAGCTAGCAGTCCATTAGCTCTTAGCTTTGACTGTTGATTATTAATATTTATTATTGTTGCTGCTGTTATTTTCCAATTGTCCTTTAGTGTCCAAGGGACACATTCCACTCAGTCATTTGTCCAGAAGTAAGTCCAGAATGCGTGCGTTGACTGCCAGATATGTACTCTAGACAGACGTAGCTGGAATGGGGCCTGGAGTTGTCCTTTTTAATGAAATGCAGCTGTAGTGAGTAACCTCCCACTGTTGGCATGTTATTAGGACCAGTCTTAGCAGTAGGCAAGCTTTGGAGTGGCTAACTAGGACAGCAGTCTGTAAAAAGGTAGAAGGCTTGGTGTAGGTGTGGGTGTCTGGGAGGAATGCTGCAAATCTGACTGTAGGGGATTTTGTGAGAGTTTCACTTTAAGTGAGGCCATAAGTCCTCTCTTTCTGAGGTCCTATTTTTCACAGACGTGGCATTCCAGTGTCTGGGCTGGAGCATTTCAGAGAACTGGAGGAGTGAATGTTACTTCCTACACTGAGAATACAAGATCCCTGCACAGAAAATGCTAGTACAGTGGTGCCTCGCAAGACGAAATTAATCCGTTCCGCGAGAGTCTTCGTCTAGCGGTTTTTTCGTCTTGCGAAGCAACCCTATTAGCGGCTTAACGGATTAGCGCTATTAGCGGTTTAGCGGCTATTAAAGGCTTAAAGGCTTAGCGGATTAGCTGCTAAAAGGCTATTAAAGGCTATTAAAGGCTTAGCAGATTAGATAAAGGGGGGGGGAAAGTGAAAAAAAAAATCTCTAGACTCGCAAGACATTTTCGTCTTGCGAAGCAAGCCCATAGGGAAATTCGTCCTGCGAAGCAACTCAAAAACGGAAAACCCTTTCGTCTAGCGGGTTTTCCGTCTTGCGAGGCATTCGTCTTGCGGGGCACCACTGTATGTAAGGAGAAGGCATGTTTCTTCCCAGCATGCTAGTTTTTATCTAGAGACTTTACAGTGGGCGGGTAGGGAGGTCGTTTGGAGAAGCATTCGCTCATGCTCCTCCATACAAAAATATGGATACATACAGTCTTCAGGTCCAGAGGCACCACTGAATATAGTTGCTTGAAAGCCATAGTAATTGAAAAGGGATATTGCTTTCCTTTCCTTCTTGTGGGCTTCTCAGATGCCTTTGGCTGCAAACAGGACGCTGGGTTGGAGGCCCGACTGGTTTCATCCACCAGGGCTCTTTTGCCCTATTGTGTAAGCCCCCATTCATGTCTGTTTGCAAGAACCTTTTTGGGGGTGGGAGCGGGGGGAAGTGGGCTGGTTTCTCACCAAGAGAGAGGGAGAGAGAGACATTGTGCGCTGTGCATTTTACCTTATTTCTCAGGATCTACAAATGTTAGAAAGGTACTCTTTATTTTAAAAGTAAATCTGGGAACTGGGGAATTCACCTTTCACCTGGGGAGGGGGAAAACTTTCCCTGCCTTTGGGAACCCTTGCCCCCAATGCACTTTGAAGTGTTATAATCCAGACAAAGGTTTGCCACTTCAAGGGAGAACTAGGCCGTCTTGTCTGTGAGTCCTGAAATATTGTTTAATTTGGTCGTGTACTTTCTGATGTCTTATTTATTCTTTATGACTACTTTTGTTATGTATATAATTATGGGTTTTTTTCATGTTGTAAGCTGCCTTGAACATGGTTTGAACTAGGGGAAAACAGCATACAAATAAAATGAGGTATGCATGTATGTAACTAGGCCAGAAACAGCAGAGAGACTTGAAGAGGTAGTCTGCTGGCCTGGAGCCCCAGCACTCCATCACACTTCAGCCAGATTCCACTAGCTGCATTGCCTGCACTGGTAATCAGGCACTGGAAAGCATGAGGACCTTGTTGTTAAGGGAATGGTGGTTCCTCAAGGGATTCTGGCTAAAGGGGTGCAGTCTCCAAAGGTCCCAGTTTGGCTCAAGGGAATCCAAGCTGACAAGCTCTCACTCAGTGTCAGGACCGAGTTCTGGGTTCATCCCCTCTGTTGCTTGTACCTTTTGTCTCCCTGATCCAGCTGGTTCCTCCCCGATTGTGTCAACATTTCTGGCAACTGCTCAGGACCATGGCACCTGACACCTAGGGTAGCCATTTGTCCTACTTTAGAGAGGATGGTTCTTTGTTTGAAGGATTGCTCAGTCCAAACTTAGAAGGGAAAGCAGAAGGGGCCCTAGAGTCAGCAGTCAGCACCTGGACAGCACCTGGCATACAGCAGGTTACCAAGTTACAGCTATAGATGCCGGAAGGCAGTGATTTCCGTTCCAAGCTTATCTTCATCATAATCAGCACTGTTTCTGTTCTGCTGCACTTTGGTTGCCATCATATACCATGTTATTCATCCCACTGTCCTCTATTTAATGTAGTTTATATAATTACTTGTATAATTTATGCAAGTTACACGTTTAATGTAATTAATGATGTAATTATTTCCACACCATCCATTACAATGCAATGGAAATGCAATTTAAATTGTGTGGGGGGGAGACACACATCATCAATTATGCATAGTTTGCAGGCTGAGAACAACAGTAGCAGCAAATACCAAATGGGGTATTGTCTCTCTGGACATGAGACAATTAAGTGAACACTGGCAATTTCTGTTTCCATCAGAATTCTCTGACATCACTAGTCACAGCCTTCTCCACAATAGTGAGATGCATTAGATTTCTATTTCAATTATAGTAATTATTTCTGAATTTGTAATATGCACACACATACATCAGCACATGCAAATTTTATGTAAATCTCCCCCCCCCCCTTTGGTGATGTATTTTCATTTTGTCAGAGTACTGGAGGTGGGCAGTGCACAAGTTCCTTACTGGCACCAGGCATACCTGTTTTGTCCTGTTCGTAACGTTTTAGAATGTGAGTGTTCTTTTGCTGGAATTATTTCCAAGTATGGAAATCCCAAAGACAGAAGCTGAAATATTTGACAACAATTTTATCCTGATTCTCTGCTCTGTCATTTATTTACCTTTGTCAAAAATTCCCAAACTGTGTGTCTCATCACAACTGACATGCCACAAGAGAACTGCTGGTGTGCCGCAATAAATAAATAAATGAAAGGAAGGAAGGAAGCCTCCCATGAGATCAAAGTAACCACTGATAGGAGGAGGCTGCCCCCTGCAGTCTTTGTGCAGTTCACACTCTTACAGTTTTGTCTCCTTCAAATAAATCTCCAGTGGGTGGAG